AGGCGGCACTCTCCGACGGCAGAGAGGAGGGAAAACAACACACTAAAACGACCAACAAGAACAAACTACGCAGCAAGCGGACTGTGAGTGGAAAGGAACTATTTGCAGCCACACACTCCGTGAACGGGAGCTGCGGAGAACCCTGCAGGATTCGCCGTGGAGGTGAGCTCCAGGCGCCATTAAACAGAGACCCCGCCCCCCAGGAGGAGGCCAGGACCAGCACACAGCCCGGGCCACCCGGTAAGCTTGTGGAAAAGCTGCGCGCTGGAAAAGCAAACGCGGATGGATCGGGATAGCACGGGAAAAAGCAGCGCGGTTGAAAAGCAAACGTGGATTGGGATCCACGGCTGCCCAGGTCCCCGCCTGCGACCTAGGCTTGCAGGGAGACGCGCGGCGAAACCCTCACTGAGGTTAAAGTCCCTCACTGAGTATCCAGGAACCAGGCACCAGGCACGGGAACGGGGTGCAAAAGACGCCATTCTGTGGACACTGAACTGGGCTACAGCCCACGTCCTGGACCTGAGGGCTTTGGAACTGAGATCCGGAGCACAAAATTTGGGGGCGTGGGTTCTCCACGACGGTGGGGCACAAGGCAGACACAGCACCCCAAAGCTGTTGAGGTTTACCCTACCATTCCCGCTCTGTTTCCTGTCCCACGGGGTGAAAAAAAAAAAAAAAAAACAGCTCCCAAGGCTCTAGGAGAGATCTCTGGCGCCACCTAGCGACTTGAAACCAGCAGAGGCTCCTGGAGGAGCCAGTGGCCAGCTGGGGAGTTAGCCCACGCCGGGCCCCTGCCGACCAGTAGTCTGAGCCCACAGGGGAGCGAGCACCCAAAGCCGGGCAGACCAGGCGCGCAGAAGAGTGTGCCTGAGACTGGACACGCAGGGAGTGTGTCCCGCATTGCCATTTTAGAACAGGGACATTTCTTCAGTAAAGACTGCCTGCAGAAGGCTCCCTCAGGAGCCAGAGGTGAGCCGGGAAGTTGCCCACACCAGAACACCTCTAGCCTGCAGTCCGAGCCCAGAGGGGGAGGGGAACCCACCGCCGGGCAGACCAGGAGCACAGGGGAGTGTGTCCCCACATCGGCATTTTAGAACAGGGACCTTTCTTCAGTAAAGACTGCTTGAAACTGACAGATGGCTCCCGGAGGAGCCAGAGGGGAGCAGAGAAGCTCACCCAAGATGCCGGCCAGTCCCAGCAACACAGTGTCCCAACGCATACGGCAAATTAGAAAACAGACAGTAGGGAGTAGAAGAAACCACACGCAACATAGCAACTCCTCAGGGAAGAAGCACACCACAAAAAAGAAACCAGCCCCCAGATTGCAACGACAGTAATTGGAAGAACTTCTGAGCCTTCCAGAAAGAGAATTTAAAATTGCCATGATTAAAAAACTGACAGAATCATAAAGGAAAACAATGATAAGGGAAAAAATAATCAACGATCAGAAGAATGAAATTGAGTCCCTAAAGAGGGAAGTAAAAGAAATGCAGGAGATCAAAGAATTAATGGAAGAACTAAAGAATTCTGGGAAAAGCAATGAAAGCAGAATAGACGAAATGGAAGAACGAATAAGTCTCTTGAAGACACAGAAATAAAAGAACCAAAACAGAAAAGGAAAGAGAAGTACGAAGGAAAAAGAACGAAGAAAGACTTCGGGAACTATCGGACACCATGAGGAAAGGAAATATAAGAGTTATAGGAATACCAGAAGGAGAGGAGAGAGATGTAGGAACAGAGAAAATATTCCAGGAGATAATTGAAGAGAACTTCCCAAATGTGAAGAAGGAGCTGAAAATTGATATACAAGAAGCAAGAAGAACACCAAACTTCCATGACGAAAGGAAAAATACAGCAAGACACATAATAGTGAAGCTCCCAAGAATCCAGGACAAGGAAAAAATAATGAAGCTGACAAGAGGGAAGAAACAAATAACATTCAAAGGAAAACCAATCAGGCTGACATCAGACTTCTCTGAAGAAACACTACGGGCAAGGAGAGAGTGGAAGGACATAGTCAACAGACTCCAAGAAAACAGATGTCAACCAAGAATACTCTATCCCGCAAAGCTTTCCTTCCTCTATGAAGAAAGAATAAGGACCTTCCCAGACAAACAGAAACTATGGAACTTCATTACCAATAAACCCCCACTCCAAAAAATACTACAAGGAATCCTAAAGCCAGAACCTCAGAGGGACGAATAACAACGAAAGAAGCAAGGAAAAAAAAAAAGATATTAAAAGAATAAATAAAATCAAAGAAAGACAAACACAATGGCAAATACAGATGCTAACATATCAATATTAACCCTAAATGTAAATGGACTAAACTCTTCAATAAAAAGACACAGAGTTGCAGCCTGGATTAAGAAACAAAACCCAACCTTTGCTGTCTCCAGGAAACACATTTAGCTACAAAAGATAAAAATAGGCTCAAAGTTAAAGGATGGAAAACAATCCTACAAGCAAATGGACCAAAAAGAAAGCAGGAACAGCTATACTTATATCAGATAAAACAGA